GAACAGGGAGTAGGTAAGTGCTTGTGGTGATTAACAATGGTCAATTTAAGTGGGAATGCCCAGCTGAACTAAGTTAGCATGGTTCAGGGCATGGAAGACCCACCTAAAGATAATTGTAGGAGTGACATGAAGGAGAATGTAAGGGGAAGATTGCATGCTGTTAATGTTCCTGGAGAAGCTTGCTGAGGCTGGTTTTCCTGATAAGAACTCAGCTGTTATCAAGGGAGGAGCTCAGGTCCTTGCTATCCAGGGATGGCTGCTGTTCTCTTCAGGGGAGCTCTGATCTTTACCTTGAATATTACTTCCTGGCTGCAGTGTAGATCCCTCGGCCTTCTGGCACAGATCCTTCACCCCACCAGCACAGACTTTCTAGCTTCCACCACTGGCCTTTGGGCCTTCCTGGTGCAGATCCTTGACACAGACTTGCAAAGAGATGCAATGGGCTATACGTCGTTGGCTGGACTCCTGTGGAACGTTGCCAGGGGATCCAGGCCCTTTGCTGAATTGAATTATTCAGGTCTCTGGCATGTGAACAGATCTCTCATGCTCTTCTGCATTTGACTTTTTGGGTGAATATTATAAAATAATCCTATAAATTATGTGCCCTCTATTAAATCTATTTCCTTGCAAACCCTAACTACAGTAGTGCTCTAGAAATGTCTCAGTATAGCAAATTGTTGGAGCAGCCATCTAAAGCAGGTCTGTAGAAGGACTTCATTTAGTCTGTGAAACAGTGTATAGTATGGAAGTACTTACTTTTTTTTTTAAAGCTGCTTACGGATATCAGCTTGCCTCTTGGCCTTCTTGTATTTCTCCATCACAAGGATTTCAGAGAATTGAACATAATATTTTCATTAATGATAAACAGACATTTATTTCCCTGAAATAGGAAAATATTGGACATTCCCAGAAAAAGAGGCAAAAGGCCCAAAAATTTGATCAGGTTGTAGGATATTCATGTGTGGCATTAAATTGTAGATTTTTTTTATTACTTTCTGTGGCTGGTTAATAAATAGGATACTTTCTAAAGATTTTAAAGCCTTCCTTTCACAATCAGATGAATAATTTTGGTGGTTTCTGAAATACAATGGGAACATAATTAAGAAATGGATGGATGAAGGAAGGACACAGGAACCAAGTGGGGCTTGTGTGGTACAGTCCTTAGCAGAACAAAGAACAAGAGTCAAGGTCGAGGGATTTAGCTCAGTGGTGCCACCACTAGCCTCGCAAGCACAAGATCCTGAGTTCCATCCATGGTACAAGAAAGAAAGAAAGAAAAAAAAAAAAGAACAAGAGTCATCTTCTGAGGGGAAGATATCATACAGATCCTGGGAAGAGATTAAGCTGATAAATTCAGCACTATTACCATGGAAGTATATTCACAGATTAAGGATGGTGGAAAACAGGTTAGTGGAGAAGGACACCAGGAGGAGGTGGTATAGAAATAGGACACAGCTGTTTTTATCACAGTGGCTTTATAGTATAGTTTCAAATTGGGAGCTGTTATACCCGCTGCCATGTGTCTGTTGCCTAGGATGGCTTTTGCTATTCTAGGTCTCTTCTGGTTTCAAATGAACTTTTGGATTCTTTTCTCTAGTTCTGTGAAATATAGTGTTGGAATTTCAATTGGCATTGCATTGAATCTGTATAGCAGTTTTGGCAGTATGGCCATTTTCACTATGTTGATTCTTCCTACCCAGAAGCAGGGGATATCTTTCCATTTTCTTATACCCTCTTCGATCTTTTTTTTCAGAGTGTTGTAGCTTTCAGCGTAGAGGTCTTTTGCTTCTTTTATTAGGTTGATTGCTAGATACTTCATTTTTTTTTTGGATGCTATTGTGAAAGGAATTGTTTCCCTAATTTCTCTCTCAGTGAGTCTGTTATTTGCCTACAAGAAGGCTATTGATTTTTGGGTATTAACCTTGTATCCAGCTACTCTGCTAAAAGTGTCAATTAAGTCTAGAAGTCTTTTGGAGAAGTAAAAGCAGCAAGTAAATATATGAAAAAATGTTCCACATCACTGGTCATTCTAGAGTTGCCGATGAAAACAACACTGAGATTCCACCTCACCCCACAAAGAATGGCTGCTATCAAGAAATCAAACAATAACAAATGTTGGCGGGGTTGTGGGGAGAAAGGAACCCTTCTCCATTGTTGGTGGGAGTGCAGACTGGTGCAACCACTATGGAAAGCATGGAGATACCTCAAAGAGCTGGGACTAGAGGCTCCATTTGACCCAGCCATCCCTCTGCTGGGTATCTTTCCAAAAGAATCATATCACAGTGATATATGTGCACCTATGTATATAGCGGCACCGTTTGTAATAGCTAAAACTTGGAAACAGCCCATTTGCCCATCAGTTGGAAAAGACTGGTGCAACCACTATGGAAAGCATGGAGATACCTCAAAGAGCTGGGACTAGAGGCTCCATTTGACCCAGCCATCCCTCTGCTGGGTATCTTTCCAAAAGAATCATATCACAGTGATATATGTGCACCTATGTATATAGCGGCACCGTTTGTAATAGCTAAAACTTGGAAACAGCCCATTTGCCCATCAGTTGGAAACACTAGGGATTTAGCTCAGCGGTTCGGTGGCCTGCCTTGCAAGCGCAAGGACCCGAGTTTGATCCCTGGTACCAAAAAAAAAATGAGAAATTAAGAGTCATTCATAGGAAAATGGATACATTTTGACGATATACTCCTAAGTGAAATAAATAAGTCACGTGTAAATACGGAATAGTTTCTCTGGTGTGAAAAACTATAATAGTACATAATACCCTAATGAGATAATTGACATTGTGAAATAGGAAGAAAAGGGCTAAAGGTGTAGGGAAAGTGGGAAGGGTAGGGAAAAGGTAATAAGGGAAAAGAAAAAAATATGAGAAAATGAAAAAATGGAAAAAAAAAGTGTTTGTAAATGGAGAGGGGAGGAGGGGGTGAAGGGAGGGCAGGGAGGGCAGGGACAAGGGAAAAAAATGAGAACCAAGACCTGTCATGTAAAGGTACAAGATCCCAATAATGAATGTAACTGTACTGTATACCTAAAATGTACCAATAAACTCAATTAAAAAAAAACATGGAGAAACTCTTAAAAAAAATTAGGACACAGCAATAGGGATGGTACAGATAACTTCACAGGTGCAAATATGTTTAGAAAATTTGTGTTTGTGATTTATTTTACCCCCAAAGATGTCATTGCTTAATTCACTACCCTTCATCACACATACTCAGGGCAAACAGACCCGAGCCCAGAATTTAATCCTTCCTCCTCCAAAGAATTTAGGCCTTGGGTTTCTCTCCTGGCTCTGGGTTCCTTTTAGTGCCAAGCAAACTGGCTTTTGTCTTGTATCATATAGCCTGCTCATGAGCATCTCAACTTTTTCCCAGGAGCATAGACCTCCAACTACATGCTTCCTCTTCCTGTTTGTCCCGGTGGGAAGGGACAGACCCCCCCATTCCCTGCTATGATCCATTCCATGCAACTTAGGCAATGGAGATGAGAAACAGGCAACAGGTTCTATAGAAAGGTATGCTCAATACCAAAGAACTGACAGGGGAGATTCTATCATTTAGTGTGCTTTGTTTTGTTTTGGTACTGGGGATCGAACTCAGGACCTTGTGCTTGTGAGACAGGTGGCAGAACCACTGAGCTAAATCCCCAGCCCTCTACCATTTAGTTTTGACATTTGTCATATTAATTATATGCTTATGATAAACACAAAAGTCATCCCATCAAGGGGGCCCATGGCACTCCTTTAAAATGGCCATCTGAATTGTGGGTCAAAGATCCTTCTTAAGATAGGATAGACTTTTTTGTTTGTTTAGTTTCCTTCATTCCTTTTCTTAATGAAGTATGATGGAGACAGGGAAGAGACAAAAGAACTTTTGCTTAATACATAGTGTATTTCAGGTGGCATTCTGCCACACTTGTTCATTAATAGAGATTATACTAAATAGTGTTCTTCAAGGGATGCAGAAATTGGGAAGCCTAGAATCTCACAGTCAGTGTCATGGGATTGTTCTCTGTGAGCAAAACAATGTCTCTGAGATGAGGGATGAGAGCTAGGGTGGGTTCCCTGTTCGGTGGCACAAGCCACTTAAGGATATTGGCCAGAGTGGCCTGGGATAGAGACAGATCCATGTAGTTGGAAGCGCAGATGGAGCTTATGTGTGGGGAATGGAAAACATCTAATGAGGGCAGGCCCACTGGCCTTTCCACGGGGAATGACTGGGTCTTGGGATGCCTCTTTGGTGTGCCAGTCTTAGTTTTCTCTATAAGGCTTTTTTGGCTGGAGCCAACATTTTCTTTTGTGCTTTTGGCCACCTTGGTTGGTGTAGAGAACATGGAGTCCACATGCTCTTTGCCTTTTATTATGGCATTTTTGTATTCATTGTTGACACTACCAAAAAAGTGTAGAAAGGATTTCATCTTATTTACCAAGCCAGACTTTGGAAGGCTGAGACTCTGGTGAGAATAGGGTGGCATCCCTTGCCCCTGAAAATCCTGACCTTGCAAAATTTGGCCCTTCCAGGCCTTATGCTGAGTTGCTTGGCCCAGGAAAGGCTGGCCCTGTGACGGTTGGGCTGCTGCAGGATGGAAACTCTTAGGAATCTCTGAAGATTTGAGGACATTTAAGCTTCTTTGATGGTCTTGCACATCATGCTCAGATTCTTTTCCCCCAGGGACCCCTGGACATGGCTCTGAAAGCTTAAGCTGAGGATGATACCTGGAGCTGTGTTGTTGGAGATCCACAAGATGACAGCTGCGCGTCCATCGCCAGGAACCCTGGGGTTTTCTGTTCAGAAACATTTCTTCTGGCTCCTGATTTTCATCAGGGTGTCTTTCTGCACTGGTTAAAGAGAGCCCAAGCCCTGCGTCTCCTTCTCCGAGGTCCCCTGCTGCTTTGGGTTTTGCTAGGTCCTCTCTCTTTTCTGCCAGTGTGGGGATTTGGGCTGAGCCCTTGCCCTTGCTTGGGCTTTGAGGCTATCCAAGCCCTGCGTCCCCTTCTCCGAGGTCCCCTGCTGCTTTGGGTTTTGCTAGGTCCTCTCTTTTCTGCCAGTGTGCGGATTTAGGCTGAGCCCTTGCCCTTGCTTGGGCTTTGAGGCTCAAGGCTCCAGGGTTGCTCCAGGCTGGGGTTGTTTACACTGGCCTCCACCTGAACACAAAGCACCTGGGCCTCAGTCATGTCCCCGCTGGGTTGCGAGATCTTGGAGGGCCGATGGGTGGAAGCAGGGGGTACTGCTTTGGAACTAGCTGGCTTTTGGTTGCACTGCCCCAGCTTCAGCTGAGAGGCCAGGTGTTCTTTAAGGTGAACCCACTCTGAATCTGGGGCAGGAGAAGCGTCTGGTGGATTGGGCAGTTCCTGGAGCACTGTGCTTCCTTGCTTGCTTAGACTACTAAGAGACGGCTGTGAGGACTTGTCCTGTGGGCCCGCTGCAGTTAGTTTCCTGGACTGCCTTTCCTTTATGGGAACTCCCAGTTTTATCTCTAGGACCTTTTTTCTCAGGTGGAAGTTTAGCTTGGACAAGATATGTGTCTTGAATGAGTAGGGGTCAGCAGGGTGTGTCTGGCTGTCCAGAGGCACTGACTCTGTTATTCCTTCCACCTGCACCTCAGGTTGAAAATCTGCGTTGTCTGCCCAAGTCTCATCGCCGTTTTGAAAGCATGGCCCAAGCCTCCTACTTGGGTCTTTCAGTGAGATAATCTGAGCCAGTGGCTCCTTTGGGGTTTCGATAGGCCCTGGCACCATCCCTGTGGCTACAGATTGGCTAGTGACTGCTGGAGCCATAGCTGTAGAAAGAGCTACAGAGTAAAGAGCAGGCAGTCCTGACAGGAAGGTGAGATACTTGTGCCGTAAAGTCATCTCCAGTTTCTCAATGGTTCCTTGAGATAGGGCTTGGTGCAGCTTAGGGTGTTCGGTGACAGTGCGTGCTGAGGCCTGTTTTTGAGGATCGTGGGCCATTGGCATAACTTTATTGTGTAGGTCAGGGTCGCTTGCTGCCTGCAGCTCCAGGGGCTGGCCTTGTGGAACGCAGGGGAAGGGAGCCACTGCCAGGCCCCCAGGAACTGTGCCTTCCCAGGAGCTATACACACAGCAGGGGACCTTGCCCTGGTGGATCTGACCACATTTGGAGTCAATATGGCTTTGCAGTATTGCCTTGGCCTGGGTGAACAAGTGTGGCACAGGGATTGACATTTGGGCCAGTATGGGTGAGACTGGGTCGCCATCCCCCTTGTCCTTTAGGGTCAGACATTGGGGGATACTCACATTGAGTAGGGTTGTGCTGCTGCAGGACAGAGCCTGCTGATCAGCAGAGGAAAGGAGCAACTGGAAGGACTGCTGGATCTTCTCGGGCAGGCCCCAGCGAAGGCGGATCAACTGCTTCTGGAAGTGAAATTCCAGCAGCCTGCGAGCATGCTCTGGGAAGAAGTGTAGTGTCTCGGAGATGGGCTTCCTTGGCCAGGACATTTTCTCAGTCTCAGGAGCCTGGGCTTTGTCACGTGGCTCAAACTGCATGGGGTTGTAGGCACAGTGAGGTCTCTGGATGACAGCTGGCAGGCCCCACTGAAACTGGGGCTGCCTCTGCAGCAGGTGCCATTCTAAGGCTTTACATTCAGCTGGAGTCAGAAATGGGACACCTATATGAGCTTGTTGATGTTCAGCTGGAGACACACAATTTGGAGAAGATGGAGAAGAAGGCACGATTATCTCAGGTGGTGTTTTGGGCAGCAAGGGATGGGTAGAGAGTCCCTTGAATGGAAGAGAATCCTTCGGTGGTGGCTTGGATATATTCTTGTTCTTGGAGAGGCCTTCAGAGCTCAAGAAAGTGGCTGACAAGGATTCACTGTGCAGAGAGGGGTGGCCGCAGAATAGTTGCCTACATTTCTGATACAGATTGTTCCATGAGTCATTAGCCTGTCCCCCAGGAAGTACATAGAGGCCACCCAGGACTTTTGGGGCAAAATAAGGTAAGGATACACCCATAGCATTTGCTATTTGCTGGCAGTGATGTCTCTCTTCTGGGTCTATAGCAGACCATTCAGAGACCCAGAAGGATTGGGTGGGTTGCCCGTCCATATATGAACACCAGGTTTGGTTGGTATTGGTCCCAAGTCCATGAACACAGACCTGAGAAGGATTATTCAGGATGAAAGAAACTGGTTCATTATTTTCAGTCTGGTAATACAGTGGTGGGTTTGGCATAAGTTGTCTCAGAGAGTCCTCCACACGTCTAGGGAGCCCCCACCTCTGGAAATGCATTCGTTTTTTTACATGTACCTCAAGAAGTCTCAGGACATCAGGACTTAGGAATGGGAGGTGGACATATGGGACCATGTGCAAGGCCACTGGATGTGCCAAATTAGTTTTCTCTGGGTTCAAGTACATAAAAGTGATCTGCTGGGAGTTCACAGACTGCTGGTTTTGGTTCCCTTGGACAAAGTTAAGGCTGCTCTGAATCATTGCCTCTTCATTCACTACAACCATAGGCTCCTCAAACCTTGATGAAGCCACTGTAGTCTCTGGGGCCATGGGCAGATCTGCCAGTTGAAATCCTTGCTCTTGTTGGACATGATCAGTCCTGTATTCTTGGACACTAATTGCACTGGTTGATTGAGTTAAGTGTCCTGTCAGTTGTGTTAATGGGGATGAAGATGCCAGTGAAAGATCTCTAGGGTGCTGAGAATGAAGCTCCAGATTCTGCTCAAAAGACACAGTTGACATGGAGAACATCTCCAGGCAAGAGCCCTGTGATGGCTCTGATAAAGCAGGGGAGATTTGGTTCTTCTCTTCTAACAATTGCTTAATTTCTAGAGCCACTGCATTGCAGGTTTGGCAGGAGGAATCTGCACACAGGAGCTGCCTCACATTTTCCTCCTGGGGAAGCCATTGCTGGCTGGGAAGGGAAACATGACAACTATTAACAACGAAAGACATTTGCCTCCTTGGAAGAGAGTGGTCTGGGGGTTGCTACTGCCCATCCCAATCTTAGAAGTTCTGAACCTACACCGGAAAACGAAGTCTTTGAGGAAACTTTTTCTGAGAACTATGAGATATCCCTGCTATGGGAATCAGCGTCTATTGGGAATCAGTCTCATTCTGAGAAGAAAGATAGGTTTTCCTCTATGAGGGTTTCCCAGGTTGTGTTCCTGCCTGGAGATAGACCTGAAAGATAATCTCTGTAGGATGTAGACAAACACAGGACTCTTTTCTTGAAGGTCTATACCTGTTAAAAGAATATGGCAATGATGACTTCATGCAAAATCCATCCAGTAGCTAACTTGTCCCATGGCTGAGTGAGACTCCAGGAGGTATGTTTTAAAAATGATGCACAGATGAAATCTTGAATTGTAGAACTAATGTGATCCTAGCACAGAGCAGAATTTGGTGATTCTTTCCTCTTCAGATGTCTGTCCAGCCTTCTGTCCCTGGCAACCCTCTTAGCCACTGGGCCAGCCTCCACCATGAATGTCTCCTACCAATCCATTATCCCTCTCCTCATTGTTGCCTCAAGCAAGCCAAAAAATCATCATCACATTACAGGCTAAGAATTGAGAGACTACAAAGAACACAAAAAAATCACCTTTTCATGACAGAGATCAGCTCCCATGGCTTCTCAGATTCTTCTTGGGAACATCTCCTGGCTGAGAAATCAGTACAGAGTTTATGACATGTGAGTGCTCAGGAACAGTCTCTAGGAAGCTGAAGGCCTTTACTTCCAGTAAAGGGGAACTGGAGAACCCAACTGTCAATATTCTAAGAGACATCTGGTTATACTCTAATCATTCAGGACTTGATTGCTCTCCTGTACCTGTCCTCATCTGGACCATCAGATGCCTAAGTTTATGGAGGATAAGACTGAGAGATGAAGTGACTTACATAGGATTTTGTTTGTTTGTTTGTTTGAGACAGGGTCTCACTATGAAGTCAAGACTGACCTGGAACTCACTATGTAGCCCAGACTGCTCTTGAACTCACAGCGATCCTCCTGCCTCAGTCTCCCGAGTGCTGGGATTACAGGCATGTGCCACCACACCCAGCTTTACATAGGATTTTAAAACTAGTAAATGATAGAGTTAAAGACATCTGCCCTATTTCCTCAATTCTTTATTTTCAGGGGAATCAGATAGGTAATTTGGGAACATTTCCATTTTCTGATTTCCCACCCACCCAATTCCTCTATGAAAGCCATGGATTTGGGAGAATTGCAGCTTCCAAGAGTTGAGCACTTGGATCCTGGCACCAGGTGTCATAGAGGGGCAGAAACTATGGAAAGCTATTCAATAGAGGTAGGGAGTTAGAGGAGAGATTGGGACTTTACCTCTTGATGCTGCATTTCTAGCCCTTTGTGTGATTTTTCGGTGACGCTTAAAGACAAAAATATTAGGATGTGAATCTGGGATGCCATTTTTTTTATATTGAGAATGAGACAGAGATCACATACATTTCCCACTCCATTTCTATGTATATTTATATTTTAATTATGTTCCCACTTTTAAAAATATTTACTCAACATTCTTTTTACCCCAATACTTCCCTTCTCTTCTTATTCACAATTCATCACAAGGCTTTTTTAAACTCTATACCTCCCATCCGGTTACTAGAAGTTTCACTGAAGACGAAAGATGATACAAGAGAAAGAATAGAACACACATGAGGAAGTATTATTCTAACAGTCACAAGACTTCGTCTTATAAATGCCTCCAAGGACTGTAAACCATAAAATTATCTCATATTGGGAGGTCTTTTGAGGTCCAGTGAAATTGATCCCATATTCAGTTCTTAAGTCAATCGGACAGGTTATTGGTTTTTCAATTACAGTATCTTACAGGGAAGGACTGGTAAGGAATTACTTCTCCAAGAATAAAAGGGCTGTATAAAAGTACATGAAAATATGGTATTAAAATTGGCAGAGAAGGACCGTGAGATCATAGAAAAGAACCCTGGAGCTTGAAGACATCCTACTTAAGGCTTAAACTAATTTAATTGTGATCACAGTTTCCCTACCTGGCAGCAGCTCCTTTTATATTCAAATCTCAATCCATGGTAACTCCAGCTCACTTGCCAAATAATTAGGAAAATTATGAAGATCAATCCATAGGTATATAAGAGGTATACTAAGTCCCACAGGACAAATGTAGGGGTGAACATGATCTAAACCTCAATAGCATGAGGAACCCAGCCATCCCTGTATGTAGGCATTCAGAGTTCTAATGACTCCAAGTGCTAGGCCTTGTCATGTGACAAGGCTGCATGTCCACCTCACAGAGGACAGAACCAGACCACCAGCCTGCATCACAAAGCCCTTTGCTTCCTAAGAAAAACTCATGTTGTGATGCAGTCTGTAGATGAGTATCTTAGTTACTTTCTTATCACTGGGACACAATACCTGATATCCACAATTTAAGGAAGGTTTATTTTGGCTCACAGTTTGTAGTAGTTTCAGTATGTAGTTGGCTGGCTCCAAAGCAGAGTTGTCAAAACAGCTCATGACATGGCAGGAAGCGGAGAGAGATCAAGGGAGGTGGGAAGGACATGGACATAGACTCCTCCAGGCCACACTGCCAGTGACCCATTTCCTCTGACCAGGCTTCGCCTTCCAAATCATGTTTAGCTATAAACTCACCAGTGGACTAATCCATGGATAAGAATCACACCCATGATCCAATCATCTCCCCAAAGCCCCACCTATTCGCACAAGAGGCCTCAGGGGGGATATCTAGATATAAACCACAGTCATGATGGTCATCTGTAAAAGTTACACAGCCTGGATCTGTTTGCCACACTCAATAGCAACATCTACTTCCCACTTTCTCTTCACTCTCCCCTTCCCACACCAGCCTGTTGGCTCAGTTCTCTCCTTTACCTATCCTCAGAAAACTGAATGCTTTGGCACACAGGGCACCTTGTGAGAAAGAGTGTCTGGGACAGAAGAATCTCCACCAACTCCCCAATCTTTTTTGGACATATATCTAGAAACATACAGGGTTAGGGAGGTCAAACTGTAGTTATAGCTTGGAAATGCAGAGCTTGGATGTTTCTGACAATGAGTGATCAAAAATCAGAAGTATAAGAAGTACCATGGCTATGTAGCAGGGAAGGGCCTTGGTGACTGCTTGTGCATGCGTGTGTGCGTGCGTGCGTGTGCATGTGTGTGTGTTTTACTTGGGATTAAACCCAGTACCTTTGCACTAAGTTACATCTCCGGCATTTACGTGCGTGCGTGTGCGTGTGTGTGTGTTTTACTTGGGATTAAACCCAGTACCTTTGCACTAAGTTACATCTCCGGCATTTTTTGAGATAGGGTCTTTCTTAGTCAATAAATTGCCCATGCAGGTCTTGAACTTGTGACTCTTTTGCCTTAGCGTTTCTCGGTCCTGCGGATTACATGTGTGAGCCACCAAGCCTGACTTATATCTTTATTTTCATTAATTTTATTGGAACATTTTAGATATACAATATGCTGACATTTATTATTGGGAATTTGTACCTTTACATAACATATCTTGGTTCTTTTTTTTTTCTCCATTCTGCTGCCCTCCTTTCAACCACTCCACCTCTCCCTATTTACAAAGACTTTGTTTCATTTTTCCTTTTCTCATATTTATTCCTTTCCCTCTGTTCTTTTTCCCTATCCCTCCCACTTCCCCTTCCCCTTTGTACCTTTTCTTCCTATTTCACATTATCTATTATACCTCTTGATCCTTATTTACACTTTCAGTTTCTCACACCAGAGAAACTATTCAGTATTTACACATGTCCTATTTATTTCACTTAAGAGTATGGCTTCAATTTGCATCCATTTAGCTATAAATGTCTCTTATGGCTGAGTAGTACTCTTATTTTATTTATTTTTTAAACCACATTTTCTTTATCCAGTCTCCAGTTGAAATTAGGCTGTTTCCAAATTTTAGCTATTACAAACTGTGCTGCTATGAATGCTGACACACATATATTGCTGTGGCATGGTTCTTTTAATTCTTTTGGGAAGATATCCTGAAGGGGAATAGCTGGGTCAAATGGGACCTCTAATCCTAGTTTTTTGAAGTATCTCCATACAGATTTTCACAGTGGTTGCACAATTCTACACTTCTACCAACAGTGGAAAAGGGTTCTTTTTTCCTCGCAGCCCCACCAGTATTTGTTATTGGTTGATTTCTTGATAGCAGCCATTCTGTCTGGAGTGACGTAGAATCTCAGCATTGTTTTCATTTGCATCTCTTGCAAACCAGTGAAGTTGAACATTTTGTCATATGTTATTTACTGTTTTTACTTCTTTGACTGCAAAACATCTGTTCATTTCAGATGCCCGTTTTTTTATTGGGTCTTTAAATTTGGGAGGTCTGATTTTTTTTTTAAGTTCTTTATATATTCTAGATAATAGACCTTTGTCCCAGGAACAGCTGGTAAAAATTTTTCCCACATTGTGGGTTGTACCTTCATGCTGTTCATGGTTTCTCTTACTGTGAAGAAGCTTTTTAATAAAAAGAGACCCCACTTGTTGTTTCTTTGTGCTAGTTCACGTGCTACTTAGGTTTTGTTCATGAAATCTTTTCCTATGCTAATGTCTTCAAGAGTTCTACCTAACCTCTCTTCCAGCTGGGTTATTGTTTCTGTTTTAATATTTAGGTCTTTAATTCATTTCAATTTTAGTTTAGTGCATGGTGAGAGATATAGGTCTAGTTTTACCCTTGATCTTAGCCGAAAGGCTGAGAAAATGTTATAGGTCTAGTTTTAATCTTTGGCAAGTTGAAACCCAATTTTTCCTGCACTATTTATTAAAGAGGCTATCTTTCCACCAGTGAGGGAGTTTGGCTCCTTTGTCAACGATGAGGTGACTGAGTATGTCTGGAGTTGTTTTTACGTCTTCTCATTGCTGATTCATATCATTAAATGACATTGTGAGAGGAAAGAGACTCCTCCAGTCTGTGGGTGAGGTCTGTAAACACTGCCTTTCAGGGAGGCACATTATTGTAGTTTACTTCTGGAACTCTGTTCAAATTTTGGTTTTCCAGTGCTGTTTCTACCCATGTGATAGCTTCCTGCCTGCTCAGGGAGATGAAAGCAGAGACCGTTTAGTAACCACTTCTGACTTTGAGTCTCAATCTACTTGTTTGTGGTTATATCTTCTCCTCTCTGGATGTATGCTATTTGCTTGTAGGATGTTTGTTTGACCTGGAGTTTGGAAATCTTTAAAACAAGAAATCCCAAGTATCCTTGAGAACTTTCACTCCCATACTATGCCCATTAATTTACATATTTATGTTACTAGCTTGACTTTGGGTATTATAACACCCCGGATTTCTGAATATCCCTGAGAACTTCTTGTGCTGGTAAGAATGGTCTTATAGGAAAAAAAAGAAAGAAAGAAAGTAAGCAAGCAAGAAAAGAAAAATAAAGAAAAAAATCCTTAGGCCCAAAATATCTGGAGAGTCTTTTTTATCATTCCTCCAGCATTCAGTCTTCTATCCAACTGGGGTGGTAAATACTCACTGTGTTCTTCTATAAGCTGTTAATATCAAAGATACACAGATATTTTGAAACTGTTAAAACTAGACTATTAAAGGTCTAGTTTCCAAGACAAGACTAATTTTCATGAATCAAGACCAGGGATTTATTTTTTTATCATTTTATGGACTTATTTCTGAGGTTCAAGTCTCAAAAATAAATTTCAAGAGTGAGAATGCTCAGGTGGGATCTAAGTGGTTAAAGAAAAAATTTCCAGGTATAGCAACATTGGAGTTTTTTCTAAAAGTACAGGTGGTGGGGTAAAGGACTGTTACAGGTAGGAGAAGAAATTACCTACAAATAATTTCTTGCAAAGCATTGAGGAATGGGCCACAGAGTTCATCTGACTGTAAGAACTGCAAACTGTCTATAACAGAGATGCAGGAGAGTATATTTGAAGGTGATTGCATCATGGGGCAATAAAGCCAACTTGTTAGAAGGTGGGGTCCAGTGAAAAAGGCAGTCACTGGGGGTGTGACCTGGGAGAGTATTTGCCTTCCCAGTCACTTCTCCCTCTGCCATGGTACGAGCAGTTCTCCTCTGTGGCAGACCCTTCCATCATGCCCCTCCTACCTTGGAGCCAGCCAAATATGGGCTGAAACCTCTAAAATCAGTGAACCACAGCAAATATGTACCAACTCCCCACAGTGAATGTAATCATTATGTACCACTAGCATGTACTAATAAAAAAATCTGGAAAACTCAGATATATAAAGATAAATATCACATGGTTTCTTTTATATGAGAACCCTAAAGTATAAATAAATTAAAGAGCAAAATAAAAGATAGATAATAAGAAACAGGGAGATAGATCTTTTGCAAATGGAAAGGGAACCAAGAGTTGGAAGGAGTGAGGAGGTTATGGGTGTTGTGCCTTTGTAAATGGTATTAATGGACTTAATGAGGTATGATAGAGCTGCTGTTATGATTTTATGCCAAGAATATGATCTCTTTTGGCAAATATTTCACGTGCAGTTGAAAAAAATATGTATTCTGCTATTTTGGGATAGAGTGCTCTATGAAAGTCAGTTTGTCAAATTGATTGATCAGATATTCTATATCCTTGCTCATTTTCTATTTACTTGCTCTGCCTATTACCAAGATGAGAATATTAAAACCTCAAATATATTTATGAATCTTTTTCTTTCAGTTCTTTCTTTTTTGGCTCATATATGCTGGAGCTCTGTTGTTAGGTATATAACATTTAGAATTGTTATCTCTTTTTGGTTAATTTATCCTTTTCACTATATATTACTCTTCTTTATTCCTGGTTATTTTCTTTGTTCTAAGTAGAATTTTAATGATATTAATTAGCCACTCCAGCTTCCTTTATATGGAGAGGGTTCATATAAAAGAAGCCATGTGATATTTAAGTTTGTGTGTCTTATTTCACTTAACATTATTGTTTCAAGGTGCATTTTTCTACAAGTGACTCATTTATCTTTATGGTAGAGTAGTACTCTGTTGTGTATAAATGCTACATTTTCTTAATCCATTCATCCATTAAAAGACATATAGGCTGCTTCCGAGACAGCTATTATAAATTGTGTTATAAACATGGGTATGCAAATGTCATTGTAACATGATGTCTTTAACTCTCGTGGGAATATATGTAGAAGGAGAATAGCTAGGTTGAATGAAAGTTTTTTGAGGAATCTCCATACTGATTTCCATAATGTTGTACTA